TCAATTTCCTAAACTAAATACTCAACAATTGTTCACTGTAACTGGATAACTCAAAATACCTTTTTATCCATAATTCTATTAGATTGTGAGATTTCACAAACTTAAATGGTTATCATGAAATTTGTTTTCGCCCATAATTATGTCCTTTTGGCAAATATCAAAATTCTGAAACTTATGGTACAATCTACATTTTAGTGTTCTTGACATATAATTTGTCTCTTACAACATGTACAATGTAACAATTGTGCCAAAATATGAAAATAATACTTCATAAATGCATTCAAAGCTCTTTTCTGAATTAACCAAGAACCTTTACAACCAAGGATGTACAAGTACTTGAATACATGAACAGCTTTATAAACACAAAGGGACTTAAAAGGAATAGCCAACTTTGGCTTAGCTGCCTTGGGGAGTGGAACTTTAGTTTCAAAATAATTTCTAAGATTATCAACGGAGAATTAACAGGCTTCAAGGGTCTGTAATTAATTGTTGGTGAGATTATTTTGGACAAACAGATGACAAACAGCCAAAAATATACCCGCCACTTCTTTGAGTGTGATGTTAAAAAGTCTATTGTACTAAAGTGGTGCTACTGAACAGAGTCTGGTGAGGACAAATCCATTTGATATATGTCCAGCTGATACAATCTGCTCACAACAATAAACTACCAGTTACTGTTGAACAGTTATGCATGAATAACAAAAAAACCTTAACACTGAGTAATTAACCTGACTACTGGAACATGAGAAAGAGGTCAAGGCTATATGGCATATGTCAGATGGTAGTTACTACAGAACCAACATAACTAAACAACTATTAATGCAAATAAAGCAATATTTGGGCATGGGGTTTCAATTTTTGTTTTTGATACCAGGAAGTTAGTTAGAATGTATAGATATAAAGTTAGACTAAAATCGAAGTACGCGTATTTTGGTGGCCCTCTTTTTAAATTGGTGGCCGACTGATAATATCGACACTTGGAATCAATTTGATATAGCATATCATACCTATTTATCATTTTTTGTTGAAATCTACAGAAAAAGATATTTCACAAAACTTGTGATTTTCTAACAAAACTATGTTTTTACTACAATTTTTCTTCAAATTTCACAGAAATTGAAAGTGACTTTCCTTTTCATATGTATATATACACTACATTAAAATTATGGAAATCCTTTGACGTAATCTTGACTCATTAAACAACATATAATTGATGATAGATGGACAAACAGACAGAGAGATTACTATAAGGCACGACTGACTAGTCAGGGAGACCCTTTATAAAAGGTGGGCACCAACAAAAGTTACAAAAATTCCCATTCTCTGTAATCATAAATTTAGCAAATTTGCTTTCTGTAGTTAGACAGTATTTGTATTTATTTTGAAATATATTTCAGGAAAAATGTAAACAGTTGACTAATCAAGAACCCACTGAATAATAAGTAAAACCAAATACCCTAAAAAGGCATATATTTAATTCTCAACAGGTAACATCACAGTGATAAATTATTGCACAATAATATACAGCGATAAAACTCTTAGTCTAGTGAATATCATATATACCATAAATGTTGGATTCAACCTTTGAACCTTTTAAACAATTTACCATCTAAAATCTGATTATAAGCAATGTTGTATTGAGTATAAAATGCAGCACTGAAACAGAATAAACTTAACAATTAGTACAGTTATAATAAACATCAGTTTGACTGTTCATATTCACTTTATTCATATCACTTTCGGTACTTTTTCGCACCTATCTCCTGGAAATAAAGCACCATTTTCTCACAACTAGCATGTGCTACATATATTTACAACCAAAACCATACATATGTTAACCTTATTTCTTGAAAGTGGTCAATTCTATCTTAATTTCAAAGTTGAAGCCAATATCCCTCAGGTAAGTCAATAGTTAAATCATCTGATTAACACATGTATTATTTTTCAGCGTAAAACAAACAGAACATGGTCTTCAGTGTAAAACAAACAGAACATGGTCTTCAGTGTAAAACAAACAGAACATGACCTGCCGTGTTTAATGAAAAGCTGAGGTATAACATACCCTGAGATAATGTTGACCAATGGCAAATAGTATTTCTATTAAAGTTAAGGTGAAGTATACATAATTGGCCTTTTTGGGGGATTTTTTGCGAAATTTTGTTACATTTAAAACTAGTTGAAATAGCATATGAATATTGGTAAATAAAGGTTATGAATAGCCTTTTAATTCCAGAGATACAATCAATTTAAAAATTCAATATCTGTTTAATAGATCTATATATGTATTAGAATGTATGTTAAAAGTGATTTTTATATGCTGTTTACATAGATTCTTTACATTGATAGATCTGTAAAACAGATACAAAATAGGAAAAAAAAAGACTGCAAACAAAATTTTATATAATCAGAAATACCCATACATTTCATTAAACAATTAATTTTATTATCATGAAGTTAATGTAAATCAATAAAAAGTTGACAACATCCATTATTTAGTTCCCAAAATTTTTACATTTATATTAAAAACTGCCTTAACATGCAGAAAGTTGAATGAATGAAAAGACAAATTTGAACTGCAATAATTTGTAGGTATACTGAAAAAAACAAGAGTGCACACACTGAAATGTCTCGCCTGTTTGACTTATCATTGAATTCATGTTGAAAGTCTGTAATATGAAGGTTTTACTACAATGGACATATGACAGATGGAAACTTCGTAACATAAGGTATCTGCTTGTTTTAAGCTGAATTGATGTAATTTGAGTTAGAGTATTTAAAGTATACACTATATGGTAAATCTAACTACTTATCTGAGGATAATATGGTTTGAAGTTTGTTAGTCTCACATCCAAAACACCTCACTAGGAAAATATAAATAAAGAGACACATCCATTTCCAAGTTTTGGTGTAAAAATACCTGTATTATCAATCTCTATAAAATTACAACCTTCTCAGATGCTACAATAATCATGGCTTAAATTAGAAGATAACATAAACATAGAGTTGCTTCTTGTGAAATCTTAGTTCTTCATTCCCTCCTAGAAACTATAATTAATTCTCTTTCAAAAGATATTTTAATTATTGATTTCATAACATTCTGTCTAAAATTTCACATGGAAAGTTCTGTGTAAATTATATATCAGTTGTTTACTCTTTCTGTACAATTCGAAAAATTCATAATTCAAGTTTATGACACCAAAGCATATAAAGTAAGCAGACTAAATATCAGGAAAGATATGACCATTATTATACCAAGCCACCATATGAAGAAATACCAAGAATTCCTTCAACAATCAATTATAAGTTGCTTCCACCAAAATAAAAATGAATGCATTATAACAGAGTTGTATCTAACCAAAAATTAAGGTTAAAAAACAACATTTAGAATGGTAACAATTAATTGCTGCCTTAAACAGTTCTAAATATAGATTTTTCATTAACCGCTTTCAGAACACAATAAATTTCTTGATCAGCACATCTTACAATTTATGGCACATACATTACAGTTACATTACCAATAATAAAACCGACATCAAATTATATAGGCTGTTAAATAAATGATAGAAGTATGGATATTTAATCTTAGAAATATACTGCTGGAAATACATCTCATTTACTCCTTTAGTCTCCATTATCAAATTACAGACTCTGTCAGTTATATTGTCACAGGTCTTATCATCGACATATCAAATCAGGAATAATTCGGTTGACACTGAATTACATTTTATTTATTCTGCCTCAATGAAAAAGCACATATGAGGTTAATGGATGATAGAAAATTGAAAAATTCCTTGGAGCGAGCTTATTCATAAATTCTATTACGAGTACCCAGTTCTTTATACATTATTATATATTTTAACACTCTGGACAATTTATGTGAATCCTGACCAAGAAATCATTCCGATATAAATAGAATTACTTGTACATTTCGTATGTATTGATTCTTGTAGTTATTTATAACAAATTCTTTAATAAAATATGTTTACACTAAAAGGAGGCACAGAGTACATTATGTATGTATTTAGTATTGTATATTTTCAGACTTTAAAAAGACAGTCAGCACTTCAGTTTAAAGGTGATGACTGTTTTTTTTTTTCCTATTAAGAACACTCATAACTCTGTCTTATATAATCAGGTAAAATATAAGTTGTATTCCATGCATGGTTCCAGGATTTGAGGTAAGTGGGGTTAACAATATCTCCCTAGAAATTTTGCCTAAATTTTTTTCACGCATTTTACGTCAAAAAGTGACATTTTTCCTACATTACTGGGAACTTGAACCGTAGCGCTCCAGCCTGAATCTGCACCCGTTTGAAATACATAATGAACACATAAGAGAAAATGGAAGACATTCTCTCTTTAAAGCAATCTATAACAAATTCAAATTTATTACTTAATACAATGGATAACTTTAAATTGAAGGAATTTTAAAACAGTTACTCATGAAATAATTAAAATAGCTGAAATGATTTATTTCAAATGTTTTTATTAATTAACAAAACTTAAGTAGAAGTTTCAGAGAATTTGTATCATTCACCATGTATCAATGTATATGCCCTAAACCAAGAATGTCTACTCTCCAACCCAATATCACCTATTCAAACCCCCTCAGCAGGAATATGCACTTTACATACTTTCAGTGATTTCATTACTGTTATTTTTGGAATTTTTCCATTTCAAATAGGCAAAAGGATATGTGGTTGTACCAGAGAAAAATTTGTAATTGAAAAGAAAAATTAACCAAAAATCTGAAACATAAGTTAGAGGGAGAGTTGCTCAAAAAGTTTATGATTTGTAATTTACTTTAAAACATCACTAAAATAGGAAAATAGAAAAAAATTGTAAGAAAAATTTAGCATTACCATTTTCTTGTACAGGTGGTTGTGAATGGTGACAATTTGATTATATAAGAGGATTACAATATAATTTTATTAAAGTCTAGAAGATCTTAATTACTGTAAATACAGAAATTATTGCAAGGTTTTTATTAATGTGAATAATGCAGTTTATTTTTAATTATTGTGGTGATAATGTTTGATAATGGTTGGTTTCATCAATTAGATATTGATACCATTATTGATGAGGACAGATATGTTTCAATAGTTGTAACAATTCCGTCATCTTTTCCTTGAATGTGAGCTACCGAATTAGACTTATCACTGGATTTGTACCTACATGAGCAACACGATGGATGCTACATGTGGAGCAGGATCTGCTTACCCTTCCAGAGCACCTAAGATTACCCATGGTTTCTGGTGGGATTAGTGTTGCTCTTTAGTTTTTTATGTTGTGATTTGCGGTCTTTTGGTCATCTTTTTTTTTTTTTGCAACGGCACTGTCAGTTCATTTTTTAACTTATAAGTTTGAATATCCCTTTGATATCTTCCTCCTCTATTTAAAGGGATTAAAATGTATCATTGGACATAACTTTTAAATCAAACCCTTTAAAGATGATGACCAAGTGATTTCAGAAATGATTGGTTTTTATATAATTTATTTTAAATGATGACACCAAGTGATGGCAGCAGTTCAAACTTAACCTCTTTCCTGCAGAAATTAAATCATCTAACTGATAAAAACTAGGTCAAGGTCATCAATCTACACACAAAACAAATTGATACCATATAGAAACTATGATGCTTTTTTATGGTCGATGAAAAAATTATATTGCACAAGTACATATAATTAGGAATAAAAGTCCATTTCCAGATAACATGATCTGAAAATACTTAAAAGGATAATGTTCTACTAAGCTTTCCAAGCAGAATAACTAAAATACATCTATAAGAAAACCTAAAGATCATAAATACAATTTAAGCTTTAAATCTATATTTGTAATAGTTTTAGATATTTCAAACGCAGGGGACTTTTACTTTTCTAAAAGCAGTGACATTTTCAAGAAAATAGAAGCTTTCAAAGATTGAGTATATAAAACATGATAAAGTATGATGAGTGTTATACAGCTCTGGAATGTAATAAAATGAAATATGAAGTAAAGCGATCAAATAGAAAAACAAGAAAAAAATGAAGTGTTGTAGTATAAATAATTTATCTGTTGAGCGTAAAATTTGGCTTTTCTTTAAATCTAAAATTCTTAAAGTGATATTTGTCTTCCATAAAATGACACTTTTTCACACATATTCACATCTTTGCATTGATAATTCAAGTCAGAAACAATAATCACTGTACAAGTGAATGCAAATACTCTCTTTTCTCAAAAAACTCTTCTTCTTTGCATGATTTGTCCTTTTATATCAACAGGATATGGACATAACTTGTGAATAATCTCAATGTCTAGTATGCTGACTAAGTTGGTGTCAGGATTCTTTACTTATTACATGTTTATTTGTAGCTTCGGAGAGTTTATTTTTCTCCTCTGATATGTCTGAATAGGAATGACTGACACCTGTATTAGACTCTGTGTTGACTTTTTTTGCTGCACGAGCACCTGTTTCTTCTTTAAGCTTTTCATTATGAGCATCTACAGTTTGTAGTTTGCTCAATCGTACAACTTCCAAAGACATCGCTTCAAGATTCTAAAATACAGAAAGAAATTATAATGTAATTTAATCTATTTTACATCCTGAAGAAATTTTGATATTTGTAATAAAAGACAGCAGATTATTTCTTTAGGCATTACACTATTTATGCAAAACATCAGTCCTGCTTTAGAGAAATTCATCATAGAGAATATTTAAACAGCAAAGAGATGTCTTGTTTTTTATGCAACAATATCACAGCAGTTTGATAGCCTGTCATATTGCAACATGTAATCATTGGAGTGAATATGACTAGAATTCATCTGAAAATCTACTAGTATAAACAATGTAACTTATACAAAACTCCATTGAGCATGACTAACAAGTTTGGCTTCAGCATCTTCTTGTAAATTAGTTTTCCAATGCTATTTCAAAATAAATATCAAAGGTCTATCATTTTTATTTTATTTTTCCACAAAGGTTAAATATTTGGAGAATGTAAAATTCTAATTTAAAGTCACTAATGTCATTATGGTCATTGATTGACAATTCAAATGGAAACTCTATAGAACCCTCACAAAAACATTTGTTCAAACAGGCTTTGTAATTTGCCATTTCAGAATGTTTTGGTATATTTTTTGCAGTTATTACCAAAAGAATGTATTAGATTCTAAAATGTTAAATTTGATTGCACTGATAAGTACTGTCGTTGAAGTTGCTATTTATCCTAACAGCAGTCATACTGTAAGGTCAACTATAGAGTTGAATTTTAATTCCAATTTAAGTTAGATTATACACCTTGTCCTTTGGTCTTTGATAGATAATTGTCTCATTGGCAATCATACAACATCGCTCCTTATTTTTATAATAACAGGGGCAAAGATTTATAAACCCTTGACTCATTACCGCTAAATTTATTCTTCAGTTTCTAAAATGAGTTGAATTTCCAAAATCAATGAACATCTCAACCAAAACAACTGTCAACAACTAAAAAATAAAGTCCTTGTCTTTTATAAATGCATTGTGCAAATTTGTTGATTTTTATTCTGGAAGTATGATGTCGACAATTATACCCATTCTGAACCCCAATTGATGATGCTTTTGTTAAAGACAAATCCATTAGAAGAAGAAAAGGTGAACATCTTTCAAAGTTATACGATCATGACAATTCTCCTAAAAAATCACATTTAATTAAACTTCTCCTGAACTTGCATAATAGGGTAGACATAGAACTGACACTTTCAATAATGACGATGACTTCTGAAATATCCTTACATCGTTGGCTTATGTCATGTGAACAATGACAATTGAGCGTGATGTATTTGACTATCTATCCGTCTAATTGAATCAATCTAGATTAAACCTATGCAATAATATAATCAATATAAACATTCCCTAATGTTTGTAGTTTTGAGAACTATTTTGAAGAAATAGATCTTGATGAATATTGGGCTTTTCAGGTTAAGTTTGGTTTGAAATGATTAAAAACAAAAACCAATGAGAAACTTCATATATGTTCTATACTATCCATTAATGATACAGCTGATACATAAACATTTCAAATTGTATTCGCTCTAGTGGAGTGGCACTTTGATAGTAAACATGTATATTCAGAGTAAAAATATGGCATATTGGTATTCATATGGTACAAGTATTATTACTGATATATAATATTGGAAAATCTGGGATTTATGAAAATAAAGGGAAGGGACTAAGGGCACTCAACACTGTCCCCAATCACCTTGCATTGACCTCCAATATGGCAGCAAAGGAAAATAACTCTTACCAGTACTCAATTTTTTTTGTCAATCAAAACTTTCTATACATATTATGTTGAAAATGAGGCTCTTTTAAATATAAATTATACCAGAACACACCCGCGGGTCCATGACTGAATTAAAGTACTGATGCCTTATTTTCAGCCTGGATTTTAAGTATTCGTAATGTTATCTGATGAAGTCATACTGATTGTAAGGTGCACAGTTTTCTCTGCTTTCAAAGTCTTTCTGTTTGAACTCGTCCTGGTTTTCTTACAACAATAAACTTACTATCAACTAAATATAATTTTTTTAACTAATTAACCAAAATTAATAGTTATATTGATGTGGAAGAAAACAGACTTGTTAAATAGTGTACTTTAGTGTAACATAGAAATAACACAACCACTGGAAGAATTCCTGGTTTTCTCCTGTTAGAGGAGTGATTTACAGAAGGTAATAGGTTATAACCGGAAACTACATGTGACATATACTATTGGTATTGGTATCGGATTCAACCTGGAACTTATTAATAATAAGTAATATTAATTATGTGGAAAAAAAAGGGCCTGGAATGGTGTAATTTTTAAACAACACCATTGTCCTATATTAGTTATATATAAAGTTGAATTCTTTGATTTGTCGTTTTGATGTCATGCCGGCTAACAAACAGGATCTCATTATTTTAGTAGTATAGATAAGTTACTTTTATAAATATTACTTTACATTTATACAGATTTTACTTGCATAAATTTTTTTCTCAGACATCAGATAATTCTTTCATAAAGCATAAAAATTAATTCCTGCTGAAACATTAGCTGTCTTCCTAAAGCACTTGAGAGTTAATATGGACACCTTTGAGTCAAAGATTAGTGTTTAAGGACTATAAATTATAATATTCCTTAAAAAACTTGAAGGCAGACATATATAAATGATTTTATTGAGACTTGAACTTATTTACAATTTGTTACCCAAAACAAACTACATATGCCTTCTATATCATTTGGTCTCTAATTGAAAGTTGTTCCATTAGCAATCATGCCATATCTTCTTATTTTTATACATTTGCTCCTTATATAATTGTTATTATCAGTTATTTTCATGTATTAAATAATTTATAGGAGTAATATTTCTGTCAAAATTTTAATGATTATATTTTATCTGTATAGTCTATCAAATTTTAAGGAATTCTTAATTTTTTTGTCACAAAATAATTTAAAGATTTATATTCATAGTACCGGTACATTAACAGGTTCTTGTTGTGATATGCATGTTATATTTGCCACTGGCCATTAAAAACCAATCTTACGGTATCACCATCATATTTCAATAAATAGGCAGTGTTTTTCAATTATTTATGTAGGTTTTAAGAAATGAAAAAAAATTACTCGAAGGAATAATTTTAAATGACATAGAAGCATGGACTATATGTAGTTTTTATAAACCCTGCTTTTTAATAGACCAATAGGTTAAGCCAGAATTTTAATCTGCTAGTTCACAAGGTAACAGTTCACAGGAAGGTATGTCACCCTACTCAGACTCTAATCTGCTAGTTCACAAGGTAACAGTTCGCAGGAAGATATGTCACCCTACTCAGACTCTAATCTGCTAGTTCACAAGGTAACAGTTCACAGGAAGATATGTCACCCTACTCACACTCTAATCTGCTAGTTCACAAGGTAACAGTTCGCAGGAAGATATGTCACCCTACTCAGACTCTAAGCTGCTAGTTCACAAGGCAACAGTTCGCAGGAAGATATGTCACCCTACTCAGACTCTAAGCTGCTAGTTCACAAGGTAACAGTTCGCAGGAAGATATGTCACCCTGCTCAGACTCTAAGCTGCTAGTTCACAAGGTAACAGTTCGTAGGAAGATATGTCACCCTACTCAGACTCTAAGCTGCACGTTCACAAGGTAACAGTTCACAGGAAGATATGTCACCCTACTCAGAATCTAAGCTGCACTTTCACAAGGTAACAGTTCGCAGGAATATATGTCACCCTACTCAGACTCTAAGCTGCACGTTCACAAGGTAACAGTTTGCAGGAAGATATGTCACCCTACTCAGACTCTAAGCTGCACGTTCACAAGGTAACAGTTCGTAGGAAGATATGTCACCCTACTCAGACTCTAAGTTGCTAGTTCACAAGGTAACAGTTCGCAGGAAGATATGTCACCCTACTCAGCCTCTAAGCTGCACGTTCATTGCTCTTACACCAAGATACTGCATGCATAACAGAAAAGCAGCAAATACCAAATATCAAGTCCAAGGTTTAACCAAGCCTGGAATTAACCATATGCTGTAAAACTAAAACATAATCTAATTCTTTTCTTAAATGTTACCAAATTCTTAGCATTCCTAATGGTTTTTATGTCAACATACATCATAACTTCACTAAGAATCAGTCTATTTTCTATAAATTCTGTAGATGTATAATGGATAAAAAGTAGTCATAATCTGATATTTTGTAAAAACAGATAATCAAATAGGATAAAATATCAATAAAAAGATTGGTCAATATTTATAGAGCATTCTTTTTTTTCCTATATAATAATTCTCAATAGATTGAAAGCAGCACTAAAATTGTACATAGAGCAAAATCAATTCTAAAGCCACGTTCTCCTCACTGCAATGATAGTAGTAATCTACCCAAACTCAAGTTTCTATTTTCATGTCTTTCACGTGGAAGTGGGAAGTCCTCTGGGAGATGAACCATTACGTTAACTATATTAATGCCAAAAAGTAACAGAAAATTTGATAGATGTGCTTTCAAAGCATTTAGATCTAGTGTTATATAATTTTCCTGCAATCGATTATTTTACTCTAAGGGCAAATTATGGACAAGAATAGATCGATAGAAACTGATGAAGATAAGCAGATTTTGTTTTAAAAAATAGTTTTTACATGACTATACATCAATAAAGTGATATTAAAATCCTTACTTGATACACATTTCATTTACTTCTGATAGTATTCATTAGAATCAATTTAATTAGGATTAATCTTAAAAATGTTCAAATATCAAAAGGAGGCTATTTTTCACGTAAAATTTAAAACTGATATTTGGAACTATGAAAGTATGTACAAAAAACAAAAGTCAGAGGGTCCAAAAAGCCTAAAATGCTAAAAAGTTCCCGATTTACAGTACTTGAAATTGCATTGTGTTTTATTGGATTTCAAAATGGTGATTCAGAATTTGAAGGCGATGGAAGTATATTAATGCCACAACGTTACCTCATGAATGGCTTTTAGGGATTTGAATACCCAATTAGAAAAAGGGTAGTTCATGGTTCTCCCA